AGTGAGCTTAGGTAGACATTCTGCTTGTTCTTTGGAGTACCATGGGGAAATGTCTTGTTGGAACAAGAAGAAAACTGATGTTTTTGTCAGTTCATTTGGTCTCTAAACTCTTCCTTGAATGGTCCATGTGAGACATGTGCAAGCAGCTGTTCTTTCATGATTCTCAACATCAACAAAAATAATAAACATGTGTGCCAACTAGAGACGCTGCTAGGCTCTAGAGATAAAAAGAGGTGTTCGATCTTGTTCTCCCAAAGATCTCCTAACCTTTAGGAGCCAGCATAAGTATTCATAGAGCTTGAAGTATTAAATGAAGCAGCTTTTAAAATGGAGTTATAACAAAAGAAAAAAATACTGTAAACACTTTTATACCAATATTAACATAGCCTATTTTACATAAAAGAAAAAGAAAACAATCAAAGCAGTTTTAAAAATTCAATTTTACTCTAGAGGCTAAAATCCAAATTTAACCTACAGCCAAAAAAAGCAAGGTTTTAATTAGCTTCCAAGAGTAACATAACACAAAAAATATTTAATATTCTATTTTATGGATATATTTTATATAAATTATTCCAAACACTGAAAAATATTTTTAAAACCTTATACATATATAATACTATGATTTTATTAACTATGGATTTTTAGACATTCTCTTTGTTATTGAATCACACACAGCTGTTATTAGTCCAGTTGCCTTCTCCTAATTGTACTAAAATTTTGGGAGTTTTTTGGCTGAATAATGTTCAGATTCTTTTGGCTAAAGACAGAAATCATAAATAGTATTGAAGACAAAATACTGAAGCATAGCCTTCTCAAATACCAAACTACATTTTTTTTTCAAGTGTCATAAACTAGGGCAGAATTAGTTTTTCAGCCTCCTCACTATATGACCATTCCAAATTATCTTCATTCTTATTCTTGCTCTTTATGTGTACTCTACCCACAGTCACATCCATACCCCATATGTCTCTAAAGTCCAAGAGGAGATGACCTTCTCAACTTCAACATCACACAAAGCACTGCATCCCTCAGTAGAAGCAACTGAGCTAGCTTTTGTGCAAGTACGTAAGGAAGGTGGTCTTCTACTATTCCTCCTCACTCTGCTGGATTAGCAAGGACTAGCCTTTGAAGGTTCTCCATGGGGTGGAAGGGAAGCCATCCCATGGACACTTCTTCGTAGAAGTACCCTGCAGATTCAAAGTACTGCTATGCAGTTGGTATGCAAAACATCTGGACATGTCTACAGCTCCAACATCTTATATTATAGTCCTATTTACCAGCATCCTCTTTTACACATCTTATAATATCCTCTCAATTTTGATATTATGAAGAATAGGACACTGGGGAATCTTAAGGCCTTGAAGATAGAAATATTCACATGCATGTCAAAACCCTCATAAATTTTCTGGTGATCATATACTGTCCAATGATAGGAATGACTTTATTTAAGCAAATATACTTATTCTGGCATCAGTGCATGCTAATTGACTTTCAAAGTTAAGTGAGGTAAAAGATCACTCTTTTAGGTATATTCGGATAATTTGAATAAATATAGTTAAATATGAACTTATTGAGGATAGGAACTTGGATTATTAATGAATTTATCTCCTATACTTAGAATAATATCTGGCACTCAGAAGGTGTTTGATAAATATTTGAGGAATACATGGATGGATCACTGTGAAATAAGTCTCTTCAGTATCTCAAGGAAAAGCACATTCCTAATTAGATACAAATGGGATTGGCTCCGTTTATTTTTGTCCATTTTAATATACGCGTGAACAAGTTATTTCTCAAGTGACCTGGTGCTACAGTGTGATGCAAAATATTAAAATATTGTTAGTGGGGTGCCTGGGTGGCTCAGTCAGTGGAGCATTGGACTCTTGGTTTCAGCTCAGGTCATGATTTCAGGGTCCTGGGATTAAGCACTGTGTGACTCTGCGCTCAACAGGGAGTCTGCTTGAGATTCTCCCCTTCTCCCTTTGCCCCCCCCCACTCACATATACTCTCTCTCTCAAATAAATAAATAAATCTTAAAAAATTAATAAATATTGTTACTAACATAAAAATGATGATTAATAGGGGCACCTGGGTGGCTCAGTGGGTCTTAATCCTCTGCCTTAGGCTCAGGTAATGATCCCAGGGTCCTGGGATTGAGCCCCTCATCGGGCTCTCTGCTCAGCAGAGAGCCTACTTCCCCCTCCCCCTCTGCCTGCCTCTCTGCCTACTTGTGATCTTTCTTTCTCTCTGCCAAATAAATAAAATCTTTTTTAAAAAATGATGATTAAAAGTCCACATTGTATAAGCATTTTGTTAGTAACTTGGGGTGTTCTCTGTATTGCTTGATAATCTGTCAAGAGTTTAAATGACATCTACTGAGCCTGCAGTCCCCACGTTGATAAAAATTGTTGATAAAATTGTAGTTTTTGCTTATTGACTAGCTTTGAAATCCACAAGATAAGAATACATCCATCTTGTTCAGTAAGCCAGCCCCTAACTCAAGGCCTGCCAGTGTATTATGATTTTTTGCCAATAAACATCTGTTGAACAAATAAAGGAGTGAAATACAGTGAATAGGACAGGTTGTTGCTCTCAAATAATACAGTGTAAGGGGAATAGATGCCATTAGATTCAGATGTTAAGGAATAATTAGCTGTTATAAATAATTCTATATTTGAATATCTAAAGCACAGTGTAAGTGAGAACAGTTAGGGGCTTGGAAGGAATAGCTACAACGGTAGACGGACAAGTTGAATGGTATCTGAGGGGAGAAAAAAAGAGAATAGAAGTAATAGTAGGTGAAGAATCCAGAAATTAGTCCCGTTGATGATAGTTGGAAAGAATGGACCTGTGTATTGTCCAAAATAGCAGAAGAGACCACTAACCAACTGGAAGACCAGCTTAATTCCGCTGGCCTCAGAAACTGAAAGTGATCTCCCCAGATAGAATTATGTGGCATGAATGACCTACATCATCATTGAAGAAATGTAAGAATAAGAGAGAAAAAGGAATTGAGAAGCTCCCCACACCAACACCATATCCATGGGTATTGAAAAATTAATGACACAGTTATTGACTGAAATTCTGTGAAAGAGTTAACATATTATCCCCATAACACCCTATACTCTGTCCCTTTGGTGACTGATTTATTAAAAGACGTAATTTAGACGCTTGTGAGAGTGGAAGTTGGGGAAGACCGGTAGTTGGCTGGCCTGGGAATTAGACACCTAAAAAACCTAGATTCTAGTTCCACATCTGTCACTACCTACCTGTTTAACCTGGAGAATGTACTTGTCATTTGGGGGCCTTGTTTTCTCAGCTTCTTAACAGAGTGTTAGACTTTTTTTATAAAGAGCTTCACTCTTAGAATGGTATCCTTCTGCCTGTTTTGTCCTTCTTATACTCTGGCATAATTTTAACATTTTAATAAACTTGTTCATTTTTTTTTAAGTTGGGGAAGACATTGGAATCTGAGACCTAGAATGAAGAGAGGATAGGGAATTGAGGGAGAAACTGCCATTTCATAAGAAGAAAGCTGAAATTTGCCTTCCAGATGCAAGCACATCTTGGGACATTATCTGTAAGCAGAATGGGCTTAAATTTTTGTTCTGTTTTATTAACAAGAAGAAAACTGTCCTTGACTTCTAGAATTGATTTTGTTCCATCCTTATATTTAACCAAAAATCTTAGACTAATCATACTTTTAACTATTATCATCGTGTCTGTAATAGGAGGAAATTTCCCAGCATTGAGAGGGAAGGAGAAACTCCTTTATTGATAGTTCAAGTTGAGTATAGACAAACTAATCCTACACACCTGTAATTACCTCTGTTATTTGGATTGCCAAGAAGTTTGCTTTAACTCAAACTACCTTAGTAAACGCTTTTTGGTTTTTAAGCAATACAAACGCCCAACTCTCCACTTTATTCTGTGCTGTGTAGGCCCAAGTATGCATTTTCCCCACCAAATTGTTGCTCCATGATTAACAGGGAAACTTTTGCTAGTCCCCTTGCAGAATGACCAGTTACTCAATGTAGATGGAACAGATAGATACTTACGCCACTTGGGGGAACATTAGGATAAGTCTAAGGGAATTATTGCCATCTGATCCATCGCCCTATGTGGGGGCATCTTGATTAAATCCACAAGTCGCTGCAATTCTATCAGGCCACTTATGGGACAAGTGGAGACCTGCTTCCACACTGAAGTTTGGCACTGCTTGTGTTTCTCCTTGCCAAAAAGGGCAAAGGCCTTGAGCAAGAAGCCAGCTTTTTCCTGATTACAAAACTGACCACAGTTCCTTGCCAACCTATCAGTGTGAGCCTATTTTTTTTTTCCTGCTAATGCATTATTCTTCTCAGAGAGAACTCCACTTTTGCTGTTATGACATGGCATTTATCATTGAAACATCACCTATGCTCAGAACTTGGTGCAGTGTTACTGCCTCTGCTAATGATGGCTAAACTTCATTATCGAGTTTTTAAAAAAGCAAACCCTGATAGATCAAATCTAAACTATATCTCTCAACTATTTAATCTTCTAGAATTTGTCAGTGTCACTTTGCCTTTGTCAAGGGCTGGAACCAGTGCCTCAGAAAATAACATTTCAGTGGCATGCTGATGCCAGATTTTAAAATGAAAGTAGATGTTTGAATTAAATAGTTTCCTTCAGGTAATATGATTAGAGATTCAACCAGGGATGGGCAGCTAGAAAAAAACTTTGTCCTAGTAAGTTTATCTGGTATTTCATAACCCAGAGATGTAAAGTTTCCCATTTAGGGAGCAGTCGAACACTGAACAATCTCTTTGCTCTGATAGCTCTAAATACTGTACAACTCACGCCCCTCACAAGACACAGAACATGTGGGTCACTGGCGAGACGGTGTGGCAATGTTTTCCTTGTAATGTACCAAGTCTTGCCAAAGCAGTGAGCAACATTATGACACCACATTTGTCACAGCTGGCTCTCTAACAGGACAGTGCCAGCCAATTCAGGCCTGGTCCTTTGTGGATTAATTCCCACCTCTCCGAAATATTTGGAAACTGATGTCTTAACTCATTGGTTGTGCTCACAAGTTCTACTACTGCAAGTCCTTTTCTTTTAATGGATTGGTCTTTTGCAAGAAATAGACAAAATATCAGTGTGAATTATAGCAAAGCCCTCTTCCATGCTATTATGGGTGAAACTCTGGGAGATTCTCTTATTGACCCAGAAAGCGATTCCTTTGCTGATACACTGTCTGCAAGCACTTCACAAGGTAAAGTCAATTCCAGATATGGCTGTTGGGTTACTTTGGGTATTTATGGAATGATGAAATTGCTCTTGTAGATTGTTTTCCAGGTTATATTCTAATATGAGATGTGTGAGGTCCAGTCTTGTAATGCCTAGTTTGCTGTTTTAGTGTTCAGTTGTAAGCATCAGAACTTTGAAGAAGAAACCTAAACTAATCCATGTATGTCTCTGTGTATGGCTCCTAGTTCCTGAATAGTAGTCATTAAAGGTATATTTATATTTGTTAAAATCCTATTCATTTTTATTTCCTTGGTTTATATGTGCTTCCCAAATATACTTGAGGATTTTTTTAGAATACCCGAGGGGGGTCCCTTTTTCCCATTTTGTAGTCTTATATGGTATGTCTCTCAGGCAGTTTTTATCCCACCTATCGCATTTTTATTCCTCTTAAAACTCTCTCAGCATGCTTAGTTCTATTTTGAAATCTAGATATTTGTACATTTTATCTCTCCCAAAGAATTGTATGCTTCCAGAGTGTAGGACCAACTTATATTCTTCTCTGTATTTCTAGCATGGTGCCTAATGCATTGTAGAATAGATTGTGGGGCCTTGGAGATTGTCTATTCCAAGCATTTCATTTTACACATAAAGAAAGCAATGTCCCTAAATGCCTATTGCATACCAAGTAACTGATTAGCTATTGCTTGTACTCAGATATATAAGATTCAAGCAGATACCTCATTTTTCAAAATTCCTTTCTTGGCCGTTGCAAAATGTAGGTTCTTCATTTCTACAGCTCCTTCTACTGGAGTTTCTTAGCACAGCTTCTTCTGTTTTGTACTGTTTCATATTTATTTCTCTATTTCTACGTATTTTTTTCTCATAGATACTGCATAAAAATAGAACCTGTTAACTAGTGTGATTGGTGTTTTAGAATACAAGTGCTAAAGAGTTATAGTTAAGACACTTTGTTGTTAAAATGAATGGCTTTACATTTTAATGTTTTAATTTTTCTGGAAGTCTGAAGTTTGAACATATTAGTCACAGTTTTTTTTTTTTGTTAAAACATCAAGCTGTTTAAAAAATAAGAAAAAATATTTCCTGAAATACTGTTTCATTCTATTATGGCGATTTGATTCAATATATTTATCTGTCATCTGTGCCTCTTAAATAGGAGTTTTGTTTCATTATATTATATAAAATCTGCTTTCTATTTTTTTAAAAGCCATAAAAATTACTGCTGTCTTTCTCCAGTTACTAACTTAGCTTGCATCAGGGCAGAATGTCCTAGCTATAGTGTGAAATAGTTCTTGAGTCAAAAGTTGGTAGTTAAGTCTGTTTGCAAGGAATATGTCCAGAATTTAGTACAACAAATATTTTAGGTTAACTGAGGAAAAATTCTGTGTATGGTAAGAGATAGTTTTGTGATTCAAGTTAGTTTTCATTCTATACTAATCTCTATATGTTTATGATTTGAATTTGCCAGAGTTTGTCTTGAGTCTCAAATCCCCTCCAAGACTAATACAGTACTTTACTTCTTAATTAACATGGTACAGAAATATTCGCAGTTTAAAAATTATATATTGTACAAATAATTTAACTTTTGTTTATATGGTATCTGATTACTTCTTATTCCTAAGTGGTGTTCTGCTGAAAATATTATTCCTAAAGGCCAAAGACCTATGGTTGTTAACTTCAGTTGCATTGTGTAGATGACCACTATTTACTCTACCCTTGCCAAAACAAACAAACAAACAAACTTGAAATTGAGGCCATCAGAGATGAAACATGGTAGAGTTTAGGATTTGGCTTTAATATGGTAATTAACTTTGGTGCTCTTTCCTGCTCACTGTAGGCAAGGTGGTCTTGGGGGTTGTTGCAGGTAGCTTGGTGCAACTTTGAAGAAAAAGTGTCTTGATGAATGTGAATGATCCAGATATCCAAGCTATATTGGTCATATCATGAGATTAAAAAATGTATGTAGCCACTCTACCCAAATAGGAATTCTGTGCTTTTTCCTGGGCTCCATTATCACTGTTGAGCCCCCCTTTATCTTATTTCCCCGTTTTCATCATGAGCTCCTCAAGTAACCCCAAGTAACCCTATGCTGGCTCTGAAACCATCTCTCCTAGTAAAAATTGGCAAGATTGAAGGGAAGCTTCCACAAACTCAAGCTGAATATGCCTCCTACTTTTCATGCCAGACTTAGTCCTGTGTGAATTCTATAATTTTAAAGTGTTGCACCAGAGCATTGAAAGATGATGACACGCTTGTCCTTTGGAGCTGATTGAGCAATGGAAATATGCCTTGGAGGCATGATAAATGCTGCAATAGACAATCCTTTGAAACAAGCGCCTCTCCTGAGATAGGAGTGAGTGATTGATTGCCCGCCATTTTTATGGGGGGGTACTTAAACTGTGCCTCTGCAAGACTCCAGGCAACTGTATATTTGGAAGCATTAAATAATCGACCAAAGTTTTCACCTTTCTAGAGGTTTAAAGGGACCCAGGTAGTATCAGAGAATGCAACTACAAGTCTTGTCCTAGCCATGTATGTTCCGTGTGAATTTGAGTAAGCCATTTATCCTCTCTTCCCTCCGTTTCCACATATAACAACAGAAATACAGAGTTATTACAAGGATTAAATGACACAATATTTGCAAAAGCCCATCTGAAGTCCTATATAGAGTTTATTGTTTTGGTCTTCTAGTATTAATCACTTATGGATGGAACAGAAAACATACAATATCTTAATTTAGAAGCATTTTAGGGAATATGTGGGGGAAAACTGCAGAATTCTTTGTGTATCAAAATAACGGCAGTTTGGGGCGCCTGGGTGGCTCAGTGGGTTAAAGCCTCTGCCTTCAGCTCAGATCATGATCCCAGGGTCCTGGGATCGAGCCCCACATTGGGCTCTCTGCTCCGCAGGGAGCCTGCTTCCCCCTCTCTCTCTGCCTGCCTCTCTGCCTACTTGTGATCTCTGTCTGTCAAATAAATAAAATCTTTAAAAAAAAAAATAATGGCAGTTTTTTAGTGAGATGAGGCTTCTCCCATGACCTCACCTGAATATTTTGATAAGGAAATAATCATACTTAGAGAGTGTCTTTCTGTCAGATTTTTTTTTTTTTTTAAATGGGGCAATTACCTCCCACTTTTGTTAATGTTTGTTTCAGAAAAGATTGGATTTCCAAAAACTGAAATCATTCTTGGGCCATAAATGAAAACAGTGATTAAACGTTTTCTTCTCCGAGACACTGAAAAACTATCTTAGATTATAATATTCTTTATGATGAAGATTTAGGTAATTGACATAGCTGTAAATTTCATAATCTCACATTAATAATGATTCAGGGCCTTTTTCTAGAATGTTACTATCGTCCATATTAATTTTTTTTAGTGTGGCTTTATTTTATCATTTATTTCTCTGATTTAGCTGTTCATATCTCTTTTCTGATCACCAGGACATAGTAGATTTGGTAGATTTCAAGACTCTCAGAATCTCCTTACTGTGTTTCCAAAAACTGTCATTTCTCTTGTACTTTCCCCCAAATTATGAGTTAGAGGAAACACCAGAAAAAAATGTCCTGTATATTAGAGTCTTGCAAGAAAACAGCATTTAAAAATTTTTTAAATTTATTTTCCCCTGGCATCCCTAAGGAGTACAACTTGTTTTGAAAGTTACCTGACAGCAGTTATCCATTTAAACTCTTCATTGCTGTATAAAAGAGGTTGTCAAATGGAAAACAATTTTTATAGCTGATAGTTTGTCATAGGTTACTATCTTTGTCAACATTCTCACCTGTAACTTGAATAAGGTAACCCATAGGAAATTCTAAAATCATCATAGCTCCTTATAAAGCATATATTCTTTGCATCAGTGGAAATCTGAGCCAAGTAAATGTCTTCATTGTATTAGAGCAACAGAACTGACATGGGTTCTGTTATTTTAGCTTCCTTTGGACAGCCTTAAATTAGGCATAAGAAAGTTGTCCCAGCAAATGCCTCATGTCCATCTACTAGTGTTGAATATTTGCAAAAATAAATGTGATATGAATGAATGAATCAGACTCATTTAGATGGAACTAAGTTTCTGTAAACCTCTACTAGATTACCTTTTTTTGTAGATACAGTTTTGTACCTGTAACTAATTTAGAGACACAGTAATTACATTTACATCTGATAGCAACTGCTGGCCAACTCGAATAACCTCAGAATTAAGATCGTGTGGCTAGCTGAGCACACAGATCCTTTAGACCCATGTAATTTTTATCAGGTAAGAGATTTGCCAACACAAGATTGAAGTTCCTACAAGTGGTGAATGGTTTGCATTATAAAGTAAATTTAAAACAGTCAACTGTCAGTTACCATAAAGAATATCATCTCTTATGACCACACACTGGGATTCATGTACAGCCTTTTAGCTGACTTTCTAAATGAGAGACGTTCAGCCATCCAGTCTAATCTGCAAGATAAGTGGTCCTCAAAGCCTATCAGACTTCCAGTATGTATTGAGCACTTACTGTATATAACTAGTGCCCCATAGTGAATTTTGTGAAGTCTAAACACTTCCACCTAGCTTTGAAAGCTTTGTATAATCCATTTCCACTTTGTGTATTTTATTTCCCTCCACACCCCAGAGAAATGATCTGCCTTTTTCTACTTGGACTAATCACATTGTCCCAAGAATAAGCCAGACTCACCCTTGCCTCTAAGCCCACCACATCCTGGAATGCCTTTCCTAATTCTTCTACCTTTTCAAATCCCCCGTCCTTCAACATCGGGTTCAAGTAACCACCACGACACAAGACCTCCTGTTAATACGTTACTGTTAATTGTTCCTCTAAACTGAAAATATGTTTAGAATATATTACCTCTCCCCACTTCACTGTCAGTACTCTCATCCAAGCCACTGTCTCTTGCCTGGATTGCTATCCCACTCTTTGACTAGTTGTCCTGCCTCTGTCCTCACCTCCTAACTGCTTAGTGTCAGCCTTCATGCAGAGGGATCACGTTAAAATGTAAGTCA